TTATTATTTTATTAGATTATTAACTTTTTACTTGTGATATGTGTCAAGTTGTATTTAGGTGGAATTAGAATTCAATTAAAAACAGTATTTGTAATTTATTCGTGCTAATTATATAAAATGACCACAAGTTCCCTGACTTCCTAAATATATTGGAACAAAAAAGACAGGCTTTTCTAAGCGGATTTTGCATTAAAAATGTCCTATAAAGTGAAGGAAAAGATATATATATATATAAGGAGGAAATTGAACTGATTTTAGAACCTGAGTTTAGAACTAATAGATCTCATCCTTTCACACCAAGCATAATTCACTCACTGACAGAGGAAAACAAATGTTCCTGCTTTTTCAAATCCTAGTTTGTTTCTTAGTTTTGAGTGACCTGGTTATTGAACTGAACAAAATTCTCTTCAGTTCACTCACTAAGCTGAAACAAAGGAAATATTATCTTTTCACCTTGCAGGAGGCTAAAGTTCTCAAAAGATTGTTTATCATTTCGAAAAACTTTGGATCCAGGTGTCTAGCCAGTGATTTCTCTGTGTTTAGCATTGCAACTTTCTAGAAAAATTTCATAGAAATCAGATGCTGTTTAACTACTCTTTGTGCATGACTTTCAGACATATAAAATATACTTAGTTTCAGTAATTATTTTTGTGTACATTTATGTTGAAAATATTAACTGAGTTGTAAAAATGGAATTAAAATGGGGAAAAAAAATCTGACCCCATGCCAGAGGTAGAGGTCTGAAGAAAAGGGAGATCTATGGGATCTGTGCTTTTTTGGTGCCTCTGTTTGACATACCATGAGTGGCTGTCAGAATTTTTCACCTTGGATGGTACTTGTTCCTTTTGGGAAAAAATTATTTCCCAAAGAGAAGGAACCATTTTCTGTACAGAACCTGGTAGCTTGCTTGGTGAGTGATGGCTTTTTTTTTTTTTTTTTTTTTTTTTTTTTTTTTTTCTTCCTTTGGCTTCTCTTTTGCCTTCTGTTTGTGGATCTCACTGGTTGTAGTAGACTGGTAAGTGAAGTCTATTTAGTTAAAACTGACAGGATTCAATTAAGGGAAGTTGTTCTTTACCTTTCCTGTAATCTTACAATCTATCTAGTAGGTAAATCCTCCCCTTTAGTGGTATGTTAATATGCAAGTTTGCAAGCCATCCATCAGAAGTCCATTGTGTTTGATTTCCCATAGTGCTGCCTTTCTGTTGGATAGCCTCTGGGCTAGCTGACTGAGTTGGAAAGGACTCCACTCCCAAACTATTCATCTAATTCCCCTGCACTCACAATCTGGTTTGAAGACACCTCCCTTCAGGCATGTGTATTCTATAAGATGTGACTTCCGATGGTGTTTAAAGAGGGATCTTAACCTTTTATTCTCAAAGGATTCGAGGCCTCAGTAAACATCTTGTGATTTAAAGTACTCCTGTCACTGCTGCCAAAAACGCGAGATTCTCCTCTGCTCACCCCTGTAGTGTGAGATGCTGAGTACTTTCCAAAAATCAAAGACCTGTGGAAACTACTGAAAAAAAAAAGAAAACTATTAAGGTTTTCTGTGTTTGCCTAGCCCTGTACAAGTTTATACTAATCTGCCCAATCTGTTTGCCTTCAATAAATACAATTGAAGTAGAACATCTCTTATCAAAAGACGTCTTGTCTTGGTGTTCAACTGCATGTGCTTGTCTTATCTTGGTACATATATGTTGAAGTTTGGGTCTTTGCTTCTAGGAGTCCTGATGGGAACCCAAAGACACTGCCCAAGACACTGTCAGGGATCTATGCCAGTCCCTCAGATATACAACATTGAGGCAAGATGGAGCTGGTCCATTGACCCGTGTGTGGAAGAAGAGATGAGGCTGTGTTCTCAGGCAGTTTTTAAGAGCTTTCTCTCTGGTACTTCACAAGAAAGCTGTGTATATATGCATTGACTCTCCTATACAAAGGACAGTGGGAGCATGTTTCCCAGCCTTTGAATAGAACTTGATGGCTTGGACTTTGGGGAAGGCTTTCTTGCACGTTGGGGAGGTGGCCGCCTGTTTTGCAGCATTTCTAGCTCTTCAGTTTTATGAAGCTCACAAACAGATAAGGGGACTTTAGCATCATCTGTACATAGTATTTCAGTTAGTTACTTTCTATTGAGGTTTTGATGGTTTTTGGAGGGGTGTATTCTCAGACCTGTGGGAGCTGAGGGAACTTGCTGAGGAAAGCTAGTCATGAGCCAGAGAAAGGAGGACTTTCTCTAAGGTCTTCTGAAAGGGCAAGAATCCACTGTCAGACAGCTTTGGTTTGGAAAGGACTATTGATACCTTTCCTGCCTGGAAAGACTGAGTTGGGGAAACATTCTTGTAGACTGAAGCTAAATCTCATATCCTAAAATAACTGCACACAGAACTCGTACCCTCCATGGGTGGACTTGTTTCAAATATCAGCTGGCTTCATGGACTGCCCTGGGACAAGAGGAAAGCGGCATTTCAGAAGTGACACTATAGCAGCAGAACAGGTAGCCAGCAGTTCCATACTCACTATTCCTCCAATATCCCTTTCTGGGAGAGGGAGCTGAGGTCCCAGCCTCTCTCTTAACTCCTAGCCAGGGCTAGATCAGGAGGCAGCCTTGAGTTCCTCACCTTTCTGGTCCTTCCTGAGAGCACTGCCCAGCCCCACAGCAAACACATCATGAATCATTCATCTTTAATAGATTATGCAAATCAGGGATATCAGATCAATGGAGATCAATAACTGCAACCACTTAATTGCCAACAAAAACATTTTAAGAATGAGCATTATCTGAAGTCCTTTCTTGGGTAATGGCACCATTAATCCAAACATTGGATCCTGGCCTAAGTGTAGAGGAAAAATTCTCTGCCCTTCTTTCCCCACCGCCTTTCAGGGTGTTAAGGGTTTTTTTTCCCTTCTCATTTCCAGTTTCTGAGTTTCCCCATCATTACCACCATTGAACATCTCCCAGCGCTAATAGTTCTGCTTTTGTTACTCTGCGCTGATTGAAATGTTGCATACAGATTGAGATGTTAGTGCTAAGTTGCCACCTGGGAATGTCAAGCTGGGTCTGAAATGAACTTTTCTCACTCTTGGATCCAGATGGATCAGATGGGGATGTTCTCAAGCCGAGCTGGGAGTGTTGCAGGGAGCAGGGTGCGGATGGTGCGGGGTGGGGGGACAAAGAGAAGATTTTCTGCTTCAGCCCACAGCCTCTTCTGTAAGGCCAAATCTCTATCCTCCTGTCCCCTTGCGAGAGCCATGTACAAAGCTCAAAGCTCATGCAGTGTCCTCAGCCTTCAGGAATTCAGCTGTCGTGGTAATAGGCTGGAATGCACCAGCTTCCCTTAGGCAGAAGGACTGAAAAGAATTATTTTAATGGGCTCCTTGAATATCAAACTCTGTGATTTTAGGCACCTCACCTTTAGATCACACTATGGGGGTCTGCCTTCCATGAAGGGAGGACAGTACTGCTCTCCTGCTGGCTGTGCCCCCCTTGGGGAGGAGAGTATTTCCTGTAAGAGCTGTAGATCTGCTAAATGGTAGACAGATGACTATCAGCTGAGTTTTGTCTTGCACATACGAATACAAAGAAAAGTGGAACAGTTTTGCCACAGCTGAGCCATTTTTCTGGTTGGCTAAGAAACTGTATGGCTGCAAGGATCTTGGGTCAAGCCTGGTAGCAGTAAAAGCCCTGAAAAATCTGGGGGCATCACACTTTCTAGGCACTCCCTAAATATGTAGTTCACCTCCCCATGGTGCTCCATTTCACAGACCTCACACTGGATTCCCTTTGTATTTAGGGTAACAGCTACTGATCCCCCTGGCCTCAAACTTCCTGGCAGCTGGATGGTGCATGCAGCAATATCCCTTGGACCAGTGGCTGTGGCCTCAGGGGCTGTACCCGTGGCTTCTGCAGGACAGCATTAAGCCACAAACTCTGCTGCTCTTGTTTCTGTGCCCCAGAAGCCTGCTTTTTGGCCAAGAGGCTACAGCTCCTCTTGCTACCAGGATCGTACCTCTGCCATGACTTACTGCTTGGCTCTGCCGTGGGATTTCTGAAGGGGTCACAGCCATTGCAGTGCAAGGGGAAAGTACCAGAGAGGGGCCAAGCTCCTGGGCCTTGCCCCTGCTTTAGTGGCCTGGCAGGAGGTAGGTAGGTGCGTGAGAGGAAGCAGCGGTGGCTGAAGCCCTGCAAGAAGGGGCTGTGACAGCACGATGTCTGTCTCCTTACGGCTCCAGTGGGGCCAGGACAGGCCACCTACCACTAGCAGCAGGCTGGCGTGCCCTGCAGCCCCAGGGACAGCCCCCCAGGCCTGCTGGTGCAGCCAGCAAAGAGGAAGCTTCTGTGGAGCAGTGGCTGCTGAAACTGCCTCCTGCTGCTGTGCATCCCGGTTCCTCCCTACTGCACTTGCTCTCGTTCATTTCCTCCTCCAGCTTCCCAGTCACACCCCGGTGTAATGTGCCCACAGGTAGGGGAGGGAGGGAGGCTCTGAACAAACTTCATTTGCCAGCTGCTGAGGGCAACTCCTGGGCTTGCGAAGAGGGAGCTTCGCAGTCAGCTCAGCAGCCCTATGCTTAGCTTGCAAATGCCCCTTCCCAGTGCCAGGGCCAAGTAAAACATAAATCAGTATTTCCCCAAGAAAACCAAGCGTGGATCATGGAAGAGCCATGAACCTCTCATTGCCAGACACAAAGGAAGGAGCCACCGTGTGCATTCGGACACACTTGGCCTCCCAGCACCCATCCCTAGGGCCCAGGGCACACGAGCTCCTCAGCCGCAGCCAGGGTTACCTGTCCTCGAGCCACACCTGGGCACCTCTAGGTGCACCCGAAACGTCACCTCGCTGCCCTGCCAGCCTCTCCTGGCCCCTTCCTTCCTCCCCGGCCTTTCTGTCTCTTTCCATGCTCGCCACAGAGGGGTATCTTGCGTTAGCAGAAAAAGCAGAAGCTAATGGTGATGAGGGAAATAAATAAAAAGCTTGGTTCTGCTGTTCGGTCAGGCAGCTTACCGGTCACCACAGGGTACGTCTGGGGTCCTGACACATTTGTCCCCAGGTCTGGGTTAGCAGAGGTGGATAGACTTGATTTGACTTCATCGAGACCAGGGGTCAGAGCTGGGAGGGAGTACTCATTACCCTGGGGAAGAGAGGAGAAAGACAGCTCGCTATTGATGCGCTGAGAGAAAGGGAGCAGTGTACAGATGGGGGGGAGGAAGAGGAGAGAGGCAAACCCCTGCACAGATGGAAGAGGAGGAGGAGGAGGAAATGGAGAAGATGAAGTGACAAGAGGGCTGCGGGGGGGACCTGGGATGAGCTATTGCACCCTCCTGCGCCTGGCTGGGAAGGGGAAGAGGGGTCAGGCCAAGCATGGATCTGGCCCCGTACCCGTGGCGTGGCTGAGCCTCCATTCGGTGCTGTGAGGAGAGGGGCTGTCTGCCTGTACAAGCTCAGGCGGGGAGAAAGGGGAAGTCTGTGTCCCCTGCTCTTGGCTGAGCGGAGCTGGGGGGTGTTTGCCCTGGTGGCGGGGACGCTTGGGGCAGAGCACGGTGGCGACAGGGGTGCCTGGGCTGCGGGAGGCAGCCGCTGTCGGCCCCTTGCAACCCAGCTCTGTGCTGGGTCGTCTCCCTCCCCTCTGCTGCTACCCAGTCCTAGCTCTTTAAAAACAAACAAAGAAGCCTCATCCCCTGCCTCTGTCACTCTGTGCACTGGGGTATGAAATTGGGGAGGGGGGAGCCACATGGCTAACAGAAGGGTGGGAGGGGGAGAGCCATTGAATCTGAAAGGGTGTCCTGTCCGAAAGGCTCTGGTAATTGCCTTTTTATTGTGGCAGCCTCTGGACCAGACACGGGAGCTGGAGAGACCGGGAAGGCTACAGAACAGCAGGAAAAGTTGCTCTGATTAATATTACGTTAAATTAAAACTGATTTTCTGCTCTTTCTGCTGCGTTTTTTTCCATGCGCTTCCCCAGCCCCCTCCCCACATCTCCCCCTCCTGCAGCGGGCTCCCCACACGCTGCCCCCTCCCCGCCCCGTCCCTGCCTGCCTAGGACTGCCTCGTCATTTCCAATTCCTTCTCGTATTGATCTTCCTGTAGAAATCAGTTTTGTAATTAGCTGCAAATTAGGCCTTCTACTGGGGGTGAGCCTGCCCCCTGATTTATCACCAGAGTAATTCGCTGTGATCGGAGAGAAATTAAAATGAACTCAATTAGGCTTCGGATTTGCTTTATGGGCCCTGCTCAGAGTTTCAGGGGGAAAAATGACTGTGCTGGTGCTTAATAGTCTAATGAAAGTAAATAAAGGTTATTCATTGTAATAAACCCAGGGACTCTGGGATGAAGGGAGTCCACAGCCAGCCTCTCCTTCTCTTCCTTTGTTGGTTTATGGCTTGGGGCGGTTTAAAAAGACTTTTGATTTTCATTTTATTAAGACAAACAGCTTTTGGGATAAAAGGCTGGGGGAGCGGGGGAGTAAGGGAGAGGGGGGCAGCACTGCAGAAGTGCAGAAAACTGGGTAGGAGACAGGAGTCAAGTCTCAGCTTTGGGCCGTGAGGGAAAATGCTTCAGGCCTGTGAAACTCTGCGAGTCGCTGGTGTGCCCTGAGAGTGCCGCGATGTGCCGTGGTGGTGTCTGTGGGCACGTGTGCTGCGGGTACCTCTGCAGGGGGAAGTGGCCGTGGTGATGCAGGGATAGCGTGGTGTGCGTGGCACGTCCGTGAGGGGAGATAGCTTGTGTACAGGTGTACATCGGTGCAGCGATACGTGTACAACTAGAAAGTGCTGTGAAACGTGAAGGCGATGTATGTGCAGCAGTGGGTCAGCAAGAGAATGAGGGGTGAGGAGAGGGAGAGCGGCTTCAGTGAGGGAAGCTCCCTGCCATCACCCTACGGGCGCCTGCGGGTCCGCATTGCCAGGCCGGGCCCTCACCTGCTCAGATTTGATGTGCTCTGATGTTTGAAAGACGTCAGGGTAAGAAGGACGCTCAAAAACTCGATCTAAAGCTTCCAGCTGCTGCTGGGTGAAAGTGTCGCCACGAAGGTGCTTCCGCAAACTGTCCACGCTGCTCTGGGAGTCTCCGTTGGGAACTGAGCCCTCGGACACATCTGCAGGGCACACACAGAGAAAACAGGGAGTTAGCACCACCCTGCCTCGGGGCGAGAGCAGAGCACAGGGAGAGGGCTCCTCTGCTCCCGGGGCTGGGGGGCAGACAAGGGCCGCGGGGAGGCCCCTGCCCTCCGCTCTGGCCTGCCGGGGGCTCCCACTGCGAGCCAGGCTGTGGAGAATGGCATGCAGCTCAGAGATGAGTGGCAGTTCCACTGATTTTCAGTGTTAAAAATCGCCAAATCTCCATCGCTGAGCAGAAAATGGGAGCAAAGCGCAGCGATTAGCATCGCTCGGAGGCTGCTAGGGAGGCAGCTCACAGGAAAACTGGGTTGCTGAGGGTGGGCTTGCACTGCACGGGGCTGGGGAAGCCTGCAATGGAGAAAGCCCTCTGTTACAGCCTGGAAGGGAGTTAGTCTGTTGTAGCCACCAGTCCCAGTAGAAGTTATGTCTCCAGTGTAATTTCCTTCTCATCTGATCATGTCCTCTCATAGCCCAGATGAGTCTTTCATCCCTTGGATAATGTGAGTGATCCTGCTTCTGACTCCATGTTTCACCAGAGACAAGCCTCTTTCTCGGAGTGCTCTGTCCCATCCAACATACGTTGGTTTCTGTTACGACCTCTGTCCCACTCTGCTACATATTAGCTCATAATTTAACACAGCCTATATCTGTGTTATAAAATTCCCTCCTAAAAGAGGTGAATCTGTCTGTGACTGCCCCCCTTCCTACCCAAAATGAATTACTGTATTGCAAACGTAGGCCTGCTCTGTGAGAGTCAGTGTTCCTTGTAATCCTTTGTTCTTATCAGGAAAAAAGCCTTTTTCTGGTAGAGGCATCATCAGAAGCGCATCTCAGTCCCTGCAACAGCCCTCTGAAACAATCCAATCTCACTGCAGTGTGTCCCGTCACGTTGTAGGTATCCCGGTCTCTGCTGTGCCATCCCGTGTCTCTTAGAGCCCACTCATCCCCTCTGAGGTGAGTCCATTATAAACGTCCTGCCCCATCCAAAGAGAATCTCTCCCTGTGATAAACCATCTTATCACCCATCTGTTTTTTTTCCCTCTTATCCCCCAACTCAAATGAGGTGCATTTATCTCTGTTATAACCCCTTTTTATCTGAAGTGAGAGAGTCTCCTGCTATTAGCATCTGTCACATCCAAGGTGAGTCTGTCTGTTAGAATCTCCTGTCCCAGCTGAAGTGAATCTTCCTTTGTCATAATCCCTCATCTCATCTCAGGCAAGTCTGCTCATTATAATCTTCTCCAACTGTGCTGAGTATCTTTCTGCTGTCACGCCTCAGTCTAACTTTGGTGAGACTGGTTATAATCCTCTGTCTCATCCATGCTGATATATCTGCATACCCTCCATGCTGAATCTCTGCCCACCGTTCCATCAGACACAAGCTGCATGTCTGATAACCCTCTCTGACCTAAGATCAGGTTCTCCCTCTTACACCACAATTACCTCCCTGCATTTTCACTATTGTTCCTCATGCGTCAGCCTCTCTCAGTGGCTTCCAGACTGAGAATTTCCAAAACCTGCTGTCTGACAAGGAGGTGGTCGAGAGATCTGTACAGACCGTTTCCCTCCTCTGTGTGACTGAGGGTGTGCTCATGGCCAGGTGATGCTCCCATCAGCCTGGAGTGGCATTCTCTGTGCAATGGCCAGAGCCATGCCACTCTGCTGCTTCATCTTTTAGCTCCTGGCCGGTGCCAAGATGGGTATTGTCCTGGCACAGTTAATGCCCAACTGGTGGCCCTGAGTAATAACTGAGCCTGCTGCCTTCTGGCTATGAGATATATCCGTTTATAGGTGATTATACGATATGATATAATCAATAGTACATTATATACAGTAACGTAGTACAGTACCACTCACAAGACCATAGAAAATATTACATATTGATTTGTCCCAGCCAGCAGCCTTCCCTCGAGCAGCCCCTTCTCTCTTTCTCTTTCTTTTCCACCCATAGGCAGAGCAGAGCTGTTTACTGGCTCTGATCCCTGGCATTTTCTCCTCTCTTCAGGCTTATTTGCACAAGGGAAAATTCTTAACTTCCCGAAAGCTGGAGTTCATGACATAGTTGACCAAGAGAAAACAAAGCAAGGACTTGGCTTGCTGGGTTGCACACTGTTAGTGCAGTGTTAGCGGGCTGTTACTCAGCCCGGGCTGTCACTGCAGGGGCAGCTGTCGGCAGGGTGAGATATCTGCAGGCTCGGGCTCCTGACTCCGGTGGGCACTGCTCTCTGAAGAAGGCTGGCACACAACTCCTGGATCCAGGACCAGAAAAGAAAATGGGTGTCTCTGTATCAATGCTTGCCTCAACCGCTCTGCAGCTTGTGAAGCTGTTTGCCTTTGAGGATTTTTCCACGTGTCAGTGTGCATGGCTGTGCACACCATTATGTTAATACACGTGGGTATTTTTGCAGAAGATTGTGATTCTGGTACGCTTGAGATTCTGCATCGCCATACATGCCTGAGCAGCCATTTGTCTGCAGTGTCTGTTTTAGGTTCGTTTGGTTTTCCAGGATGGTAGCCCTACAATATGCATGTGGTTTGGTGTGAGCAGGCGAGTGTTCACATAAGCAGTAAAAGTTGCACTGATGGCCACTAAACCAGGTTTTACCCCCAGTGGGTTGCCCTGTGCTTGCCTGGCTTTGTGCATGCATGCGCTGGTATTCGCAGCCTCTGCCTGGCGGCTGAACCCTGTGCACACGTGTCCCCGTGTGTGCATGGGCCATGCCTTTGTGTGAAGAAGCTGAAACCACAGCTTCCCCAAGTCGCTGTAGGAGTCTCTTTTCCTTCATTTATTCAGGGGCCCTTCAGATCTTGACAAATCTGTCACTCTAAATTTGCGAGAGATTATGGTGCTCTCTCCCTAGCACGGAGAGAGGTGATATATGATATCTGCTGCCCCTATTGATTGCCTGATCTGGTGGCAGAGGGCTGGCGAAATGAACTTGAAATGAACATCATGCCTCAACTCATTGTGCGTATAATACACTACTTAATCCCACATTTTTCAGCCGCTATGGAATTCAATTGATCAATCATGTCCCTCTGATAGTACTGTTTTAGGGGTTATTGCTGCTCTGCTCACTGACCTTTTTATTTATTTATTTATTTGTGTTGGCGTGCGTGTGTGTGTGTGCGTGCACGTATGTGCATTTGGCACACCGAGGACCAGCTGATAAGAAAGCGCCTGTGTAGTCAGTGGGAAATGAAGGAAAAGGATGAAGGGAGGAGAAAGGGAAGGCATGGGGTTAGATAAGGAAGCAGAATGATCAAAGCAAGAGAGTAGATAAGGAGAGTGAAAAAGTTGTAAGGAGAAAGGCAGTGCTTTAGAGAGGAGCTTTGGAGATGGGGGGTGCTCTGTTGTGGCCCAGGCAGACCAGCTGTGCCCTCCAGCTTTAAAATCTACAAAAGGGAAGAAACTTTTGACAGAGGACTGTAGGCTACCTAGAGGAGGACCGTGTCTAAACAGCTTGCAGAATTGTTGGTCTTAATAGTGGTATGGCACACAAATCCCAAACATCACAGAGCCATAATATCAGCTGTGCATATAGGATTCTAGTTAGAAAGCAGAGAAAGTTTCACCAAGATAATCCTGCAAGGCAGATTTATAGGTCTTGTGTTGCTAACACTGAGACTTTCACAGTCACGGATCATTATATTTTCTTCAAAACCAAAGGATTGTAAATCCCCTGTATTTGTTTTCCGGTGTCAAAACCTATAGAGGTTGTGTTTTCATTTTTCACCTGAAGCTGCCAGGGCAGAAACTTATCTCTGTTTTTAGATCAAAGCTGCTATTCCCGTCTAAGCACATGACCCTGTGAGCTGGAGCTTCAGAGAAGAAGCCTCAGATACTGTAATACACAACCTGAGGGAGCTGAGGGTTGTGAGGGTGTGGGCAAAGGTGGCAGTATGGAACAGGGAGGGCTTGGGGGAAGAGGTGAGCTCTGGCAAAGGCTGGTGGGCACAAGTAGAGGGAGGACTCATGTGGGAAACGTGTTGGAAAAGACTAGTAAATGCCATGAGGAATGGCACTGTGGTGGTCAGCAGCAGCTTCAGCTGATGAAGAACACTGTTAGGAGTAAAAGCTTACGGGATGAGGATTTGCAAAGAAGAAAGCTCTCCGGAGGGGTGTTGTGGTGAAGCTGCAGGATGAGCCTGGGAACAGGGAACTGCACATCACTTTTCCCAGTTCCCTTCCCACTGGCCCGGGAACCTCAGCAGTAGTGTGACACAGGGCAACTCTCTGTTAAATCAGGAGGATCCGAACAAACAGCCTGAGAGGTGAACCATGGCCCCGGTCACTGTGTTCCTCACAAGAGCACACGGCTGCTGTCAGCGTGATCAGCGCTGGCCTTGCACGTGTGACAGGAAACATCTCTCCTCCCGAGGGGCTGCCAAGGGAAGGTACAGAGCCAACACTCAGCATAAACCTTCGGCACAAGACACAGAAATGCTCCACAGGTGTCACAGAGGTATCCTGACAGATAACAAGGAAACACTCTGCCAGAGGACACAGGAACAACCTTAACTACATCTGACATGAGGACTATGCCCATTAAGTAGCTCCCAAACAAAGCGACATTCCCAGGCCTGGAAGCCACAAAGCCACCAGCATGGACAAGGAGCACAAAGCCATGCAGTACAGGCGCTTCCCCAGCTCCGAGTGACGCGGAGAGCAGCCTTGCTCAGGGTGGGTCAGGGCCATCCCCACAAGAGATTAAGAAGTGCTCTTAGTATTGCTGGCGCAGGAACACCTCTGTGGAACAGAAACGCTGCAGAAGGTCATGACAACCTGTACAGCCGACCCTTGAGCACGGTGATACTGTCCTCTTTTGGGGGCAGGGGCTGTTAGTGTCTAGAGACATGCCTGCCTGGTGCCCTGTGCAGCCCCAGACTCAGCTGGGGTAAATAGCAGCCGTAGCAGAAGCGATGGGACTGGTATGAGAGCCACCGGCCAGGTGACGCAGCCAGCAGAACCCCTCTG